CTGGTATCTGAAAATAAGAAGATACTATAACTCTGACTTAATTAGAAGTTAATATATATAGATGCAAAGAGTTTAAATAGATAACTCTCTAGTTGGGTTATAGGTATAGCATTTAGTATAAAACTTAGTAATAAGCAGACTACTTAAATAAGCAATCAAAAGTTGTAAGTGTGGCTAGTTGTACTCTCCAAATATATATATAATATGATATATCATATTGTAAAAGTTAATAATGAATAAAAAAAATAACAAAGAGATCACCTTAATACCAAAAAAAAAAGTTATAATTATATTAATTTTGTAACTTCAGTCAGACCTCAATATAATCACCAGGTTGAAAAACAAACATTTAGTAATTATAAAAAGTATGATTATATTAAGGTCAAATTTTATATATTTTATAATATCTAAAATTAAAAAATAGTGTGCCTATAACAAAGTTGTAACTATATTAAGAGTAACTATAATGAGATCTGATTGTATTACTTTATTTTATTTTATTTTTATTTTTATTTTTATTTTATATTTTATATTTTTTATTTTATTTACAGTCAGCTTTTAATATAATTATCAGCTTTTTGAAACAAGCATTTGGTAATTATAAAAAAGTGTGACTATATGGGCCCAAAAATAAAAACCAGTAAATTTAGCTAATTATAGCTTTGAAAAAATTTAAAAACTATTTGTTATACAAAAACAAAACAATCTAAAAATAATTTATTCAATTTAAAAAACTTGTTTAAACAGATAATTAGATTTGTGAACTGTAAATTGCATAGTAAATATCAGTAAGAGAAGAGCTATTTTATTATATAATTTAAAGAAGATGAGAGAGAGTTAGTGTATCTATTATGTATTGATATATTGATTTAGATTAGTCTATTAAAATTATTACTAGGGAAGAGGTGTCTAGCCTTAAATTACATAATAAATAACAATTCTTTAAATCTAATTTTAAATTATAGTATCAAAAGCTTTTAATTATTATATTGCAAAAATTTATTAATTGATCAAACATTCATTATTAAGTAAAAAAAATTAGACTTTAAATTTTACATCTAATCAAACAGATTAATTTTTAAAAATTGTCAAATTTCCTGGTTTCTATTTTTAAAAGCTCATATAAAAGACAAATTTTATATATATTATTATATCTAAGATTAAGAAATCATGTAACTATAACAAGGTTGTAACTATATCAAGAGTGCCTAAAATGAGGTCTAACTATATTTGATATTTATTTATTTGATTTTTTATTTATTTGGTTTTTTATTAGAATTTTATAGCTAATTTAATTTTATAAATATATTTATCAATTATTATACTAATAAAAAGTCAATATTAAAATATATTATCAATATTTTAATAATAATAAAGACCTAAAAATTATAATTGTTTAATCAATTTATTAAGTATTTAATGTCATATAGAGTTAGGCTTAGTATTTGATTAGCTGCAAGTATATATTTTTAGCAATTTGTTATTCTTGTAATGTCAGGTAAGTGACTAGTAAGTTAAATAGTTTTCAGAAAATCATACTGCAATCTTAAAAGTGATGCTAATAAAATATTCTTATAATAAAGGATACTTTGCTTATTATTAGCAAATAATTAGAATAGTATCATTTATTATCTAATTTTTTTTATCAGAAGCTTATCCCTCCTCACCTCTTAATATATATTTTAATCAGGTTTTTATATATAATTTTAAATTTTTTAACACCTCTCTCTCTAAAAATCATCTGATTTTTATTACATCCTTTGCTATATCAAAATTGTCTAATTTTTTTAAAAATTTTTTTGAAGTATAGTAAACCTCTCAAAGTAAATACTCTCTCTAAATGTATACTTAGTTTCTTTTCTATATAAATACTTAAACTCTAAAAATACAATTTTTCACATTATTCTTTAAATGCTCATTGTTTTTTTTTTTTAATGTTAAAGTGACCACTTTGGGGTCTGGCACGTTTTATTAAACTTTGGATCAAATGCCATAGCAACTATATAGGCTACCCTGACTTTGTTACATTAATGAAGATACAATTTAGTTATATCTGTACCTTTTGAGCACCTAATTAAGTAGTTCCCTATTACTAAGTACTATACTAGATGCTGTATCAATAATATACTATTACTTAAGTTACTCAATTAAACCCTCTAATCAACTTAGTGCCATTGGGATATTCTCTCCAAAGACGAACTGATGTGTAAGCCCCTTAGGACTTTAAAGCAAATACACATTACCATATAGAGTGTCCTTTATCCTCATAGTAAACCTACTAGAGCAGTCTATATTCCATATATATATCACTAGATTTTCAGTAATTTACATCTAGGCTGCAACCAAATACTTGCGGCTTTTTACCTCCACTACCATTACTTACTTTCTGCTTTTGCAAAGTTCATCCAAACCCCAGCACCCACTTTACAGACTATCAACAGTACTTTGATGCCAACTATCGGCATCCTAAACTTCCAATTCAGAAGGTCTGAGAGGGACTAGTGGACATCCCCTGGTATTCTAAATGAATCCTTTTTCTTCTGGCTAATTTGGTGGCCTGGTTGGTATAGTGCTTGCTAAACACTTGGTCTTCATTCAGTTTGTCTTTGGTATCTGGTTCTCCAGATAATAATCCTTTATGTAGCACTACTGAAGATTTGTGCTACTGCTCTATTCGAAACTTCTCAAATAGTAGTGTATTATTGGGTTGGGTTGGGTTAGTTTAGGTTGACCCAATCATCAACCCACTTCACTAAATTAGACCTACTTTAGTAGTTTGCTCCGGATTGCTCTATAATACTTCGAGTTGCTCCAGATTGCTCCAAATTTAAAGGTATAATTTTAAATCTACTCTAATTTGGATTAGATTCTACTCCAGAGTGCTCTAAAGTAAGCTACTCTATTAACAACCCTACTAAATAGGCTTCTGTATCCTCTAATCCCTTAGATTTATTTGGCTGCTTCATTTAGGCTTCATATAACTCATACATTATACTATATTTCACAACCTACCAATACGAGTTGGTAAGCCCAAGGTTACAGGTGGTAACTCAATCGACATATTATATAGTTTTACTATAATGCATTTTTGCAAATTCAATTTCGTCACTAGTGAGATTCAAACTCTTGTTCTGCATCGGAAAAATAGATATAGTGCAGATTTGCAAAGATCTGCTACTCTGTGAAAAAATGACAAATTTTATGATATCTTGTGCCCTAGTAATTAAAACTTAATGATTTTGATACCATTCGATTTGTCTCAATAAGACGAATCAAATAGTATTACAATTGTTGAGTTTTGATTACTGGATCATGAGATATTTATGTTTAAGTAGTTTTTGTAAACACTTATGTAACTCGCAACCCAGTAGTTCAAATTTAACAATTTGGTATCATTTGATTTCTCTCGATGAGATGGTTCGAATAGTATCAAAAATGCTAAAAAGAGTTGATTGTATATCATTATATTAATAAATCAATTCGTCAAGTCGTCAGGGTTTCATCAAACATCAGGAGTTTTGTCAAATGCAGGGTTTTGTCAAATGTCAAGGGTTTCATCAATAGTCAAGGGTTTCATCAATTATCAAGAGTTTCGTCAATTATCAAAGGTTTTGTCAGACAAACTATGACTAAATCTTTCATTATCACAAAAATAGTTTTGTCAGGCATCATTAGTCCCAAGGGGTGCACTTAAAGAGGTTCAATATAAAGAATTAAAATTAGAAATGCCAGCCTCAGTATACGACCAATTATTTGACCAAGAAAATGTGACTAAGCACAAGATCTGGTTCATTAATGTGTAATGATTGGTATGTAAAAATAATATTATTTCAAATTTTGTTTGAGGCGAAGTTCCATAGAGAACAATAATATAGGCCCCACTTGTAAATAGTATAAGTGAACTTCATTACCATGTAAATAAGTATGTATGTATTGCTAGCAATAGATCCTTAAATAGTCATATTAGCTGATCTCTCAAATATGTTCAGTATAATAGCAAAGTCTCAATGTATCCACTATGCATAAAAACTCTCTATTTTCATGTAATTAGAAGGAAAGTGAATCCTATTATTTAGTAATAAAGACATCCTATCCATACCCAAAATCTTAATAGCAGTAGAATTTTTGGTTTTCGGACCAAATCTTTCATGCCTTCTTTAGCTATGTTTTATATTTTTGTGATTTTTTGCAGATACGTGGTAGCCTTCACACCGTTTCTATAAAATAAAAGGGAGACATTACATCTGACTGGCTAATTTACAAAATTTACAAAAAAATCTAATATTAGTGAAGCTAACTTTACTCATTTCTTCAGTATTTATTACATTTTGAAAAGTCATTCTCATTCAATTCTCTCTAAATGCAAGTAATTCATATTAACTAAATAAATGTTGTATTAAATTAAATTGTGACATGTAATAAAATTTTTTAAATGCAAAAATTATATGTGCAGTCTTCTTCATTATATTTTTATTTTGCCTTTAATAAACTTTATTATTGCACCTTCACAAATTTTATTGTGCCTCTTCACAACCATTATTGCACCCCTTCACAAACATTATTGCACCTCATCACAAATATTATTGTGTAATCTTTCATTATGTTTTTTCCTAAACTTTCATTGTGCCTCTTCCTAATTTTTTATTGCTTTGCTTTATTATCAATTTGATCAAAGGAACATGGAAATGTGGAATTATATTATTATAGCATGATACTTCAGTTGACAAGTACAGGTGTTGTAAACATATTAATTTTAAATTAATTAATGACAGCTAAATTTATACTTCTTATGAACATGCTAAAGACAACATATTAAGAGAAGATGTTAAAACAAACATTTGTATTGTGTTACTTTCAACCATTTACGAATTAAGAATGCAGCCAGCATAATTAACAAAATAAATAAAAAGAGCCAATTATGTAACACAAATTATGACAAATTATGATGATAAATTTATATAAATAAAATAGTAATATTTACAATGAAGATTAGTTGAATAATGTCTGAAGAAATAGTGTCTGAAGAAGAATATACCATTCAAGTATCTGAAAAAAAAGAACCTTTAGTGAAATGTGATCAAATGTTCTTAAAAGTAGTAGTTCAGACTATACAATTCGACCGATCTGGAGAAATTCCTGAAGAAAAAGCAAAAATAATAGATTTAATCAATGTTTCAGAATTTATAAAACCTATAATTGAATTTGCAATTAGTAATATACGATATTTTGTTAACAAAAATGATAGAGGTTGTGCTAAACTTTTGAAAATAATAATTTTTTTAGTTGCTCTTCCATTCCTCTTTATTATTAATTCAATTATATTTGATATGTTTTTGTTGAAGACAAATTGTTTCTCATTCTATCATTTCAATATTACTAGCCATTTTCACATTTTTTGTTACAATTTCTTTTAATGAATCTTTTGAACAATTCAAAATAGCTTCTTACTTATTATATTTAGATTTCATTATTCAATATTTAATTTCTAGAGAACTCACATATTTAATATTTTCATTTTTAAGTTCATATGGTTTATTAGTATATGGTATAATGTGTCTTAATATTGGTGATTTTAAAATTTTAGGCAAACAATATCTCATTTATTTGCTGATATTATTTATATTTATATTTTTTTCTCAATTTCTTAACATCTTATTCATTATAACACCAGCCTTTTTATATACTGATTTTTTAGATATAGTTTATGATGAAAATGTTATTTTCATGGAAATGTCACATTATCCTGTTTTGTTTAAGGGTAGAGTGTACGTAAATTATTTTTCATATGATCTCGATGAAACATTTTCTTAATTTTTAATATTTTAAAAATTTTTATTAAGTTAACTGCTTTTAATTTTAAGTAAATATTGTAGAATAGATTTTTCTGATTCTAATGGTAGTAAAATTATTCAAAATTGATTAATTGATAATCCGCCTATGAACTGGAGAATAGGTGAAATGAGACGTCTGCCATCTAAAACTTTTTTTCGTACTAAGTTAACGACACATGCCCATTAATTGACAATTGTAGAGCTCGTCGAGACACATCTAACTGTGGTTAGATCATCCAAATCAGCCCAGTGGATGGCAAGATATCGTCGAAATACGATTGGCCTACTATATAAAAATCTGTGATGGAAATTACATATGAAAAGCACCATCGACGAAACGTGGCGTTCTCCCATCTAAAACGTTTTTTCGTACTAAGTTAACGACACATGCCCATTAATTGAAAATTGTAGAGCTCGTCGAGACGCATCTAACGGTGGTTAGGTCATCCAAATTGGCCCAGTGGATGGCGAGATATCGTCGAAAAACAATTGGCCGACTATATAAAATCTCTATGTAAACAAATATTATTTATATAGAGATTTTATATAGTCGGCTAATCGTTTTTCGACGATATCTCGCCATCCACTGGGCCGATTTGGATGATCTAACCACCGTTAGATGCGTCTTGACGAGCTCTACAATTTTCAATTAATGGGCATGTGTCGTTAACTTAGTACGAAAAAAAGTTTTAGATAGGAGCACGCCACGTTTCGCCGTATGTTATTTTCAATTGAAAAATAACATTCATCAATTAATAATTGACATACATTGAGAAATGACGCATAAAATTTCCACAATTTATCATGACAATATGCCTGTCATGTTTAAGTAACCGAAAGTCATATGGAAAGTATGGCAACGTGGTGGAAATAGCAAATGTCCATGGTGGAAATAGGCGTTCTCTTATTTAATTGCCATAGCCCGTTTAAAGATCTAAACTGAATTCGCTTCAAGACACGTCCGAACCCAATCATAGCTTAGAGGTTTTTTTTTTTACATATTTTTATATAGTCTCTTGATAATGGCTAAATGGTATTTAAATTCATTTAGAAAATGTAAAGAGCTTAATTTCTATTTTCTAACTATATATTATCTTTTCTAGATAAAATGCGATTTTGATTTTGATGAAATAAACTAATTAGTTTGCTACCACTATTTGCATTTATGTCAAAACTTCTGATATGCGTAGTATTTTTAGTTCCGTTAAAATTTGATTATCTCGCCCTTTTTTAAAAACTTCAGTTCTTCTGCGACCGTTTTTTTGGATCTTTATTCCAACATTGCTTCATCAGGTTCACATAACATTGTGAATCTTCGTTATTAATGGGCGGCCTAAAATCATTACATATTAATTGTATTATTTGATATTCATTTGACTTATGCTTCCCACATGATTCATTGAGTCTGGTAACTCACCCACAAAAAATTTTCCGGAATGTGATTTTTAGCCAATTAGATCGAAGGATCAGGTGTAACGTAAAATCAAAACAATCGAATTAATCGAAAGATTTTAAAGTAATAAGCTTCTTCTTTAGGGTTAGGAATACGACCTAGGGAGGACATAGCTTATATCAAAATTTCACAAGGAAATTTTTTTGTTAGAACGCAGAAGGCAGTTTCATAGGCAAGATTTCGAGTTATTAGCGATTTTTTAAAAAGACGTGATTTTCACGTTACACCTGATCCTTTTATCTGATTGGCTAAAGTCACGGGCCGTAAAATTTTCTGTGGGTGAGCTACAGGGGTTTGGAGAAACCGTCCAAATATAGATATGATTTTCATTCTCCGTTACACAGATCACTCATTGTATCGACCAGTCAAAATA